TCTTAGGGATGCCAAATATTGTTGAATAGATTTTGTTTTAAATAATAATAAATAATAAGTTATAATTGTATGACCTATATACTTGTTTATCAGTTTAAGGTCATATGACAATGATATGTGGACTCAATATAAAAAATATGTTAGGGCCATATCAACTCTAAAGCCGGCCCTGGATTTCTAAATTATAAAAGCTCCATGCATGCATTATGGAGTATATATGTATGTTTCTGATGTAACCATAAGAAAAGGTGGGCAGATAGTTTGGTTGTGTAGGCCGACTAGATTATGATGAAATCTCGAGATGGTCTAGGTCTGTTTTTAGTGCGTTTAAGCTTGTTTAACGTACTATTTCCCTTGTGATTCAACATTTACCAACACTGAAGTTGAAAGCTGTGAAAATTTGTTAATGAAAGAGAAATTCAGTTCTGCTTAGAAAGAAATGTGTTCAAGTTTAGGGCAAGTTCAATAATTAAGGCTTTAATACGCTTACATTGAATTAACTATACAAGCTGATTGAAGCTACAAACCAAGGACCGAGTGTCAACACTAGACAATGAGTGGCGGAAAGGGAGAGGGGCGAGCAAGATAAACATGTCATTTAACCACAACAACTTGTATAGATCCGGTTATTCTAGCTAAGAAAAGTTGCTTTTAGTTTCATTAAAAATTTAACCAAGCAAAATATAACAACTCCTTTATAAACTTGCCTAATAAAGAAAAAGCTATGTCTTTGAAACTATATTTACAAATAATGCACTAATTACATCCCTTATTCGATATCACACAAAATAATTTATTTCCAATAATCAATTAACTATTTGGTTAATTTTTTAAATTCATTCATTTTTTAAAGTACACTAAGTAATTGTTTAAAGTTTAAACTTGGTCCGAGAATGGATGTGGGAGAAATAACCTGTAACGTTTTCAAAGGGGATAAAGTACTACATATTTAGCCATATCTGTGAATACTGAAGTAATAATTTCTCGTGTTTGTATCAAACAATAATTAATTACCAGTAATTAATTTGACTAATTGGTTAAATTTTTTTATTCATTCGTGTAAATGTCTACACCAATAAATAATTGTGCGAAGTTTCAATCTGAGAATGGGTGTGGGAGAAATAATATGTACACACTCTGTACAAGAAAGACAGACAGAGAGAGTGGATAGAAGCTTTGTAAAAAAAAACAAAAAAACACCAAAACAATATAGTTCTAATAAATCTATTTCAAAAATTTCTTGACGATACCTACTCTCTACACAGAATTAGAGTAGCATCAACTCACCTGTAGGGAGAGTACACAGAGTTAAACTCTTTGACAGAAATCTTCTGATAAAGTTTCTGGGAAAAGTCTGAACATGCTGTTGACAGGGCCAACTGCTGATTCAGATCGGCGCTGACTAGCTGACCGATTACAACCAGGACCACAGTGACATAAAACATATTGAACACTCTTTGATCTGTTAAACAAAAAGTTGTACAAGTCAAAAGCTGACAAGTAGAGTATTAACCAGGACAACAGCCCTGTTTGATTTAATATTTAGTTTATTATTATCTAAATTACAAGTTATATGATTAAGACATATACATTATCCATTGACAAAAATACCATTAAATAAATAAAAAAAATACTTTCAAGAGATCTAAACCAACTACAATAAATCTGTGTGATTAGAAATATTTGTACCAATTGTTTTTATTTAGCGCTATTTCATGCTTTTAGCTTTCTCAATAGGATATAATCCTTTTACTTGTCTGGACCAATGGAGAATTGGGGGGGGGGGGGGAGAAAGAAAGGGATATCTGGATGAATTTTAGCATAATCGTTTTCTTAAGCATTTATTTAAAAAAAAAGAGGGGGGGACAAGAACGATCTAAATTCGAACCCATGAATGAAGCCTCCTTCGACACTCTAACCACTCTGCTAGTGAGATTTCTATAAAAATTGATGATTGTATAGTTATTATTTATCTATTTTCTGTTTCACTTACTTTCAAGCTGCGACATATAAAGGGGACTAATTTAGCTTATACCACCTATTTAGTCAAGTACAATTTCTTTCCTTTGTTCGAGACACACACACACACACAAAACGTAATTACCAAAAGTTAATTAACTAATTGGTTATTTTTAAAATTGATTCTTGTGTTGTCAGGTAAAAGAAATGATTGATCCGAGATTCGGTGTCGGAGGTAAAAAACGGGTAAAAACTTTTTACCAGACAGACAGACAGACGGACAGAGTGAGTTGATATAAGCTTTGTAAAAAGTTAAATATTTTAGGTAATAAGAATTGTTCATAGTAAAAGTTAATCACACGTCACAGTAATCTGATTTTTTGGTTTAAACTTGGATTTTTAAGATCCCGTTTACGTAACTTTAGCAAAAAAAAAAATACAGTAAGAGAGAAAAAGAAGAGAAAATGATAGAAAGAAATGTGTTGGCGATAAAATGGAACCTAAAGAAAAATTAAGAAAATGAAAAGAGATTGAGAGAGATTTTGAAATAAACAGACTAAAAAAAAAAACAATGTCAAGGACGACATATTTAGAGATCATAGTGACCAACAAAGGGAAACAACTCTTATTTTGTGGTGCAAAAGACAGAACTTAGAAATTCGATTAACAGTACTTGAAAGTACACAAAACTCTTATATAGTTCAGTGTTTCCCAAACTTTTTCCTTAACAGAATACTTTCACATACTGAGTATTTAGCGGAACACTTTGCTTATTTTATTACAGAGAATAATTCACTTGGTGGCTTACGAGTTAATTAAACCAGTAGTTTTGTGAAACACCTACATAGGCCACGGGGAACACTAGGGTCACACCCGAGAAACACAGTTTGGGAAACACTGAAATAGTTTATTAAAATAATTCGCTTATCATAGCTTCCATATTCTGCACACAGGATAGATCAATAAGCTAGATATTATGTATATGAGTCCATGTAAAAATATCTCTTAATTTATACATCCATTTATTGATATTGTTATTAAAAGACAAGACAAAATAGTAAAGGAATGTTCCCTGTCAGGTCTCACGATCCATAGGGCACATGGTATAAGGCTACTTCGAGTAACATGGCTTACGGTGAAAAATAGTGTGGTCAGCACAACGACCATCTGCCTTCACTTTCCCGACTAGCATCTTACCTACAGGCATTAGAGAAGGACCTTTAAGTGTCTTACAGACCTAGCAACCAAATTGCAAATCTCGGTCTGGATATAAACTTGTGTAACTGTCACTGGAATCTACTTCATGTGTGGAAATATATGACGTGAAATTAAAACACCAGAAGACTCTATTGTTAGCAATAAACTAAATTCTTGTGAATTAAATTTGAGATTTTATTTTAGAAACTCAGTACTAGGCTACTTTTTTTTAATATATGTTTATCCAATTGAAGGACGTTTAATTAATTTCTTTTAAACTTAATTTGAATGCATAATAAAGATATTCCCTAGCAACTTAAATGTATTTCACATTTCTTTATTTACATATTTGTATTATGTCCCTTAGTTGAATAGCTCTTCACTGCTCCCTCTCACGAGATCAGCTGCACAATGTAAAATATATTTCAATTCGAGGTTTAGCTACTCGTAATAATGATCTATACTTACGTGTGACAATAAATCATAACCTGTAGGTCACAGGAAAATAAGTTTTAAAGTTTATTTAGATCTCTCTTCTCCAATTCTTCCCTTAACCAAATCTTTATTTATTTATTCTTTTTTGAAGTAACGTCTTTATTATATAGGATAAGATAGACATAGTCTCATGTTTATTGAAAGTATTTTCGTGTGTATTTTGTGTGTGTGTATTTTTAAACTCTCTTTGTAATCTTGGTTGTTTTTTTTTTGTTGTTCAGCAGGTTATCCTAAGTGTTACTAACATTAGATTAGGGACTATCTCTAGATTTCTAGTTACTAAAGGAAGAAAATATTTATCAGCCAACTTTATCTCTTATAAACAAAGATAATGATGATGTACTTTTATTTTTTTTAATTTTTTTTCGGATATAACCTATACATGAAAATCTTTTCACGAATTCTAGATATCTAGATATAATAAGCCTAGGCTCTGTATTATTGTTAAAAATGAATCAACTTACAAGCAAAATAGGGAAAAAAAATTGTATTAAAATAAACAAGACATCTCTCTCTTGATACTGCAAGATTTATCTACCTTTTCTACATAAAAATTTATTAACTGTCACTAGTAGGTCAACTATTTGTTGTTGTTGTTTTTTAAACAATTAATTCGTGTAATGTCATCGACAAAGAAATATTGTGCAAAATTTCAGTTTGATCAGAGAACAAGAGACGAGAGTACAAGCTGTGTTCCAGTCCGTTGGTATTTCGAAAACGTTTATCCCTTGATTTTATTTGTAGCTTTGGATTCGTACAAACGTATCTTATTTTTCGTTTAAGATTTCGACTAGAAAAGATTTGAAAATAAAAAAAAAAGATGTTTGCGTCATCATTTAATGATATCTCCTGACGTAACACAAAATATAATAATTGCAAAGAATAAATATCTCCTTTTTGGCGTATGGGAATAGTGTTGTACTGATGTTTTCAAAACTGAGGATCACACTTTATCATTTGGGTAAGTAATAGTAAAGTAGCAATTCTACATAAAACACTGAACCATAATCTTCAATACAAAAACAAAATCTAAAAGGATTCAGAAAGACACAAAGATAACAGTACAAACCATACCCCATATGCTAGGACAAATATGTACAAATGCTTCTTCTTCCCTAGTTCTATTAGAGCATGGAATGGGTTGCCTATAACGTCTATATTTTATGAGATAAGATTTCATTATTCCCTAACTCCCATGATGTTCTTTACCATCTGTGACCTTGTAATAGAATAGGTCATAAGACCAGTGACTTCTGCTGTACTGGCAAGTTAGTCTAGTGATATTTTGTGGTCCCAAATTAGACTACCCAGGCTATTAATTATAACCTCTAGATATATAACTTACTAAGACATACAAGTAATAACTTTGAGATTTCATTACAACTAATAAAGAGTTTATTAAGAACAAAAGAAAAATAATTCAAAGAAAATGGGTATAATGGCCAACAAAGGCAAGTCAAATAATGAAGAAAAAGTCAAAATAGTAGGGCCGGTTCAGTTCAACATAATCATAGAACTGCCATCACCGAGGCCCAATAGTATCTCAGTTCAAAACAAACAATGGATAACAATAATATAATACAGGAATCAAAATAGTCAATGAGATACACAACTGTCTCTTCTCAAGGCAAAATTTGGTCTTTTACATACGACCCAAATCTGGTCCTTATAAAAAGAACACATACAGGAAAGGATAAGAGACTAAGTAGACATAATATTTACATAAACCAACTTATTAACAACAAATAAATGAAGTCTACTTAGCTCGTTAGTGAAAGATACATTCCCAAAATGTGGCACACTCCTCTTGATTAACACAGTCAGAGCAGAACATCAAAACTATCATATAAACATTATGGAGATTTAGTTCACAATAATGTACAGTGGTCAGCTCAGAGACTGAAGAGGAAGTGGCAATTGTAAACAGCTGACAGGGACTTAAATCAAGTAATAAAGGGGGCTAACTCTCATAAAAAATAAAGGTAGCCACCCTTATTGTCCCTCTTGTCACATCATCCCTATAGATTGCACACTAAAACTATCGAAGAAAGAATATCTCATAGGCCAGCCTATATGTTTCAAGGCTAGTGACAAAGTTTAAAGTTTCTAAAAACTTATGCCAACTCAGTTTGTCTGTCTGTCTGTCTGGTAAAAAGTTTGTACACGTTTTTTCTTCCACACCCATTCTCGGATCAAGTTGATACGTTCCACAATATTAAATTAATTGCTCAATTAATAACTGGTAACTAATTATTTTGTTTGATATCAATGAGGAAAATGAATCCTTCAGTATTCACAGGTACGGCTAAATCTTGAGGGTTTCGTCCCCTTAGCTAATTGAACACGTTATTTCTCCCACACCCCATTCTTGGATGAAATAGAAACTTCGAACAATTAGTTATTGTAAATAACAAAACATTAATTAATTTAAAAATTAACCAGCAAATAAATGAATTATTAGTAATTAATTATTTTCGGAAATATCGATTAAGGGAATTAGCTTCTACATTACTGAGAGATGTAATTGTAAGTGCGGAGTGCTTTCCCTTAGATTTTTAAAAATACTTTGCGCTTGTTTTTTAAATTTATTTATACACTGCATTGGAAACACCAAATACTGTTTTCCAAGTAAATGTTTTGTGACTTCAGTTTCCTAGCCAAATTTAACATATGTTCAGAATTTATTTTCCTTTTTTTTTAGGAAAAAAGTCAATTTTTTTCCCCATTTCTCTGTAAGGTAAAATGATGGTCTGGTTTGGTATTATTATTACAACTAGATCTATTTAACTAATCTTACCTTGAAGAAGTCCTTCAAGAAACGAAAAAAAAGGAACCCTCAAGCTCCTCCACGTATTTTTAAAGTAGCTCTCTAAAGCGGCGATAAAATAAACCTTTAGGCTTCAAAACAACTGCTAATTAAGCATTTTTATAAACAGTCAAGTTTGATCGTGACTTTAATTAAAATTGATTTTCTAGCTCCGGACGTTGGCGTCAGCACCCCACTATATGGGATAAATAATACCCAGGAAAACCCAAGGCAATGGCAGAAGACGAATCCTTTTTTGCTATAGATTTCTATAGACTTAATACTTTGCATACTTTGGTAACTGCAGGGCTGGGTAATGAAGACAGGACGGATACCAAGTATTAATACTAGGAGTAGAATCTTCTTCTTCTTCTTCTTCTAGCCAGGACTGTCAATGCCGGGGGTGAAAGTGGGGATAAGCTCCCATTTTCCGAGAATTGCTCCCAAGGCTTGCGTCTCTAAATGCCTCTGACAGTCAAATCCAGCTCCTGGCCTTCACGTGTGATTTTCCCAAAGATCCGGCGGAACCTGTTCTTACAAACTGACAGGAGAAGGGATGAAAGGCGGAACACTGGCGCCTCAAAACCAGTTTAGCTTCGTGTTGATGGGGCACGTCAGCCTAAATAACACAACCCATCTAGGAGAAGGAAAACTCTGACTCCAAACCTCCACTTTGTGGCGATACTTCCTCGTGTGGGTATCGGGGCTTGGAAATGACCAAGAGTAATAAATAACCCCACTGCCTTTTCAATTGCATTTCACTAAGGCGGATAATAGTGGAGCTCTCTCTCCCCCCCCCCCCCCCCCCCCCCCATCTCTAGGTGCGTTGTGACGGAGGTCTGGACTGCACTACTCCAGACAGAGGTCTATGTCTCACTACGCTCTACTACTGGATATAAACCCATCACGAAGCTTTTTTCTGGAACTGGTGAATGTGATAGCGTGAAGGGCCTGGATCCAGGATGTGACGATTCCACAGGATATACCCAGGACAGAGTCAACCTTAAGCTTTCTACTGCAAAATAGTTTCATTTGGAGAGCTCTGTAGATGGTGGAGAATGGACAATTGGCCAACCCCACATTGTCCCATGGATATTCCAGTTACAGTTTCAGACCCAGTTGTTGTTTTAACTCAGTATTGGAGCAAATTGCCAAGACCGAAAACTTCCATAAAATGCGGAGTGTTGTTTTCCAAATATGTCCTGTGACCTTTAAAACAACGACCCAGCAACAAAACCAAAGGATGTTTTTGTTTTTTTATTTTTCATCAATTTTATTCTCTTGACACCAGATCTAGTAGAATAAAACCCAACACCGATGTGAAGCTTAAAAGTCTGTTTGTTTCTAATCTAGGATCTCATTACGCAACTTAATTTAAATATATCGATAATTTACTTTATAAAGTCACCAGCTTTTTTTTTCTTCACAAAGGCGTTTGTAGTCAAGTAAAGAAACAACTAATCGCCTCCTTAAATCTTTGATTTTTTTAAACTTAAAATAACTTATAAAAGTCAAACTCCGATCCAAAATGTTTCTTTAGCTTAGAAAGGAATGAAAACATTTTTTGCTTATATATTAAGTCATTATTTTTCGCTCATCTTCGCTAATCCATGAAACAAAATTTATAGCAGAAACCTACATCACGACTCATAAAAGGCCACACATTATGGCACTTAATCGTAAATCAGAAAACAGTGGTGCGTACTGTCCAATAGAATCCAACGTTACAAACAATAAAGGAAACTCATTTCAAGACACAGACAGCAATATAAGAAGCAACAAGCAAAATAAAGGGAGAAAGAAATCAGAGAGACATAAGAGAGAAAGAGAGAGAAACAGAAGAGAGAAAAAGGGAGTAAGAAGAGAGGGAGAGTGTGGGAAAGACAGAAAGAGAGAGACAGAATAGAGAGAGACAGAATAGGGAGAGACAGAGGAGAAGCAGAAGACAGAAGATAGTTAAAAGTTCGCGAAACGAAACATTGGTATATTATTATGATGAAACCAAACAAATTCACATGAAATTCACGGAAAGGGACGCAACTTTGTTTGGCACTATAGAGAGTTGCAATTAAGTTCAACGCGATTGTCTACCTTAGCAAGTTTTAAGGGATCATAGGTTTATTTTCCCATTTCCTTATATTTATTACAGGCCCATTTCACTCTGGTGCAGTATTTCCAAAATGTGTTGCGTGCAACCCTAGTATTCCGCGAGGCCTGAACAGGTGTTCCACGAACTACTGGATTAATTAACAAGTAGGCTGCCACGTAAACTAACTTTTCTAAAAAATAATCAAATTGTTCCGCTAAATACTCAGAATGTGCGAAGTGTTCTGTTGTGGAAAAGTTTGGTATAGTGATTTGAGTAATTCTTTTGGAGAAATCTGGACAGTCAAGCCAGACATTAACTTATTAAATGCGTCATTGCCAGGTTGTCCGTGGTTCTATTCATTTCCATTTCCCATGTTTCACTTTATTTTCTCAATAATGCCATTGGAGACATTAATCTGTAGATGATAACAAAATAAATTGCCATTTGATGTACCGGTATTAAGTAAAATCCTATGGCCATATTACAAGGTCCTCAGGGCTCGCAAAGACCTTCCTTTAGGAAACAGTACCAGGAAAAAAAAAAAGAGGCACTCAGAGAAAGCGATGAGAAGACAATATAAAGGATCGGCCTACCATTGAGGGACATTATGTCCAAGGCCAAAGACAGAGAGGAATGGAGAAGGACGTTCAGTAGATCTTGTGTGGTGCCCCAACGGAACAACACACCAAGGGATGGAGGAGAGCGGATGGAGAAAGTATTAGGTAAACAAAATATAGTTCATGAGATTAATTATGTAATTTAAAAAGTATGCGATGAAGTTTGTACTTTTTTTAGCACTATAATTTTAAAGTTATTTCTCTAGCAGCAGAAACATGTTTTTATTATGCGGATCAGATCGAGTTTAAATAAACACCTGGAAGTAACAACAGCAAATTATTTAGATTACGTGATCCATGGCTTTCGCCTTGTTGACGCATATAGGAAAGTGTACCCCGTGGGTCTTGAGACCACTATGATATATAGAACCCATGCAGTTGAATCCCTGCTGGATAGACTATATGTAGCAGCTGAGAGTACACTAAACAGGGTAATTCACTTAGAAGAGACACTGAACTTCACAGACCATAAAGCGATTCCAATGCAAGGGACAACTAACCCAAGAAGAAGAACAGTCTTTAGGAAGTTTAAAAACTCTCTCCTGGTAATACCCATCATCAAGGAGTAGATCTTATTTAATCAGCGCTTGCTCGCAGGACATAAATGTACCAAATGTTTTTTGAAACATGGGGACACTACTCAAGGCATCCGTCAAGAAGCAAAGCCAAATGTTAACTACACTGATACAGACAGGCAGAAGGCAGGAACAGGATAGACTTAAACGTACTCTCTCGAGCACAGATGATGAGGTACTTAAAACTAACATACTTCTAGTGTTGGAGAGATTAAATAACTTTATTTATAGGGGAGCTGAAGTCCGCTGTAAAAACTATAATGTAAATAAATGTCGTAATAAGTTATTCTTATCCATCAAGCAAAATTTTCAGAGGAATAGATTAATAGACAAGATAATTGACAATAAGGGAAACTTTACTGAGAACAAGGAGGAGATTATCATTGCGTTTACGCGTCATTTCACAGAAATATATAGCCATGAACCTACGGGTGAAGAAATGCAGAAGGGGTTCTTCAAATATTGTAGACAGTGACCGGAGTTCGAACAAGAACTTTTAGAATCCCCCTTTACATTGGTGGAACTTGAAACCGCTCTACATTTAACACAAAACAACAAATCTCCTGATTCCTATTACATTTGAGTTTTACAGAGGTTTTTGCCTTTACTAGGCCCCCTTCTCTTGCGAGTGTATAGTATTGCGTTACAGTCTGGACAATTTCCTGCCCAGTTTAATGAGGCTCACATTACACTAATACCAAAGAGGTCGGAAAACAACACCTCTGTTAATGACTACAGACCCATTTTTTTTATTGAATACTGATTATAAGTTGTCAATGAAAATGATCTTTCTTAGATTAAAACCACTAGTTCCTCAACTCAGTGGACAAGACCAAGTCTGATGTAATCCTGAAAATAATATTCTTGAAATGAACCTTCTGTCCATTGACCGAGAAAAGGCTTTTGATCGGGTTGACCATTCTTTTCTGTTCCAAGTGTTGGACAAGAGTAGAATTGGTTCTTATTTA